TGCAGCACAGTAGGAACGTTTGGGAAAGAGGGCTGTGACATCGAAGGAAGCCATGCTTTTGTTTTTGACATTTAGGTTGGAAATTCGGGAGAGAAGGTCACCTGAGTGTTTGAGGTGGGCTTGACTGATAGTGCCCAGAAGCGCTGAAAGGTATTTAGCTGGCCACTTTGCCAAAATACCTTTCAGCGCTTCTGGGCACTATCAGTCAAGCCCACCTCAAACACTCAGGTGACCTTCTCTCCTGAATTTCCAACCTAAATGTCAAAAACAAAAGCATGACTTCCTTCGATGTCACAGCCCTCTTTACCAACGTTCCTACTGATGCTGCAATCAACATTCTGAGACAGAGGCTCACTGAAAACCACGACCTCCCTTTACCTCTTCTAGATTTCATCAGTCTAGTGGAACTGTGTGTTAATTTCAACTTCTTCAAGTATCAGGACAACTGTTACAAACAATGCTTTGGGATGGCAATGGGCAGCCCACTCAGTGCTGTGCTTGCCAACCTCTTCATGGAAATCTTGGAGACAGAGAAATTCAGCACCCTCATTCCCAACACCGTTACCTGGCTAAGATACGTTGATGATATATTGGTTTTCTATCCGAGACGTCTCAATATCCAGGCCCTTCTCAACAAGATCAATGCAGTTGAACCATCAATAAAGTTTACACTTGAACTCGAAAATGATGGCAAACTTCCTTTCCTCGACATTCTACTGTGCAGATCTCCCGACAGTGACAAACTTCTCTTCAAAGTGTATAGAAAACCTACCAACAAGGACGATCTTATACACTTTTATTCACACCAAGACACCCGCAATATAGAGAGGAGTCCTCATTGGCTTCTCTTGAGAGCTCTTCGATCTCCCAGCCCTTGTTTTCTAGAAGAATGACTTTACATAACACAAGCCTTTACAGTCTTCAGTTCCCATCTTTCTTCATCCGAGATGCAGACTCTAGGCACAAGATATCATCACAAACCGCACATGGAACAGCCCACTAAACAGATCATTAGTACTCCATGTGGCGATGTTGCCACGTAATAACTCGCCGGGCACTTGCTATGAGTAAAAACATCAACGTTTCCACCATTAAACCACATCCTCTATCAAAGACCTACTACGAAACGCAGCCCATCACCTCTAACTTCTACAGGCAGGCGGGTCTTACACTATCCCCTGGTGGGATTCTTCCCAAGAAATATGTAGCGCAAGACAGGCAGGAGATCTTGCAGGTCCGCCTGAATGGAGCATCGATAATGCCTCTAACAGAGACGATGTAAGTTACGGCCTGTGTCCTCCACAGAGACTTCACGGGGATGTTAATGAACTGGAACGAGGCTAACTTCTCACCGAAACCAGACCTCAGATGCCGACGGTGCCTATGATGGCACTCATAATTCGCCGTCACCGGACTCTATAGAACGCAAAAACACTGGAAACTACAAAATTTCTAAAAACCATTGGCTACAATGATACTTAAAGCAGCACCAACCCAACAACACAGGAGTCACATGATTTCATCGTCTACCCGTCCTCATCATAGGCAGAGGTTATTTTGATAAGGACCTGCCTCGCATGGGCCAGTAGGCCTTCTACAGTGTTCCTCCATTCTTATGTTCTTATGACATTCCTCAGGTCACGTGGTCACATCTCACTCTCCGCCTATATATACAATGTCTTTCTACCTCTGTATGTTAGAAGTGATCAAGGTCCCAGGACCGAAACGTTTTCTAATATGTTATAGTGTTTGCTTACGTGTCTTTCTAAACCAACCTTAACTCTTAACTGCAGCTTAAGCAACACTGAACAAACAAAAGAATGATTTACTTCAACAGAAGAACTTAAAAATTCCACTAAGAGTGAATTTGTTCAATGAAATATGAAAAAAAATACTAGATGCAAAACACAGAACAAAAGGTTGAAACACTTACAGTGATGCAGAACAAACACTTACAGTGTGTTGCAGAACACCACATTACAGTGTGATGAGAACACAACACATCAATATAAACACAATACTAGAATTTTCTTGCTATGAAACTTGAGGTATGAAAAATTTGAAAAATAATTGTCTTGCTTGCACAAAACAATGGCACTATTGTCTGTGGAGATAAGACAAATTAGACACTGGCTAAATGAAAAAGAATTAACACAAGAATATTCAACACACAGAGAAAAATAAAATAAAATGGCAACTGAATGAAAACAAAACAACAATACACAAATGCTGGGAGAAAAATATAACAGACAACACTGAGTTGTGATGCAGAATACAAGGTAATAAATTACTGAATTACTTCACTGCAATACTGTGAACACAAGGTAATTGTGAAGTGTAACACAAATTTTATACGGCTTATATGTTGCACACAACAAGAAAAAACACTAAGGTACTTACTTCAAGTATATAAAAAAAGAAAGAAGCACAACACAACAGACATGAAATTATGCACGAAAATTAACAATGAATTAAGAGAAAAAAAATATTGCAAACAGTATATAATAAACACTGAGTCTAATCGAGTCACTGAATGTCAGTAAGAAATCACTGGAAACACAAAAGAAATGTCTCAACACTCGCAAATGTCTCTATGAAAAATATTATCACTGTAGCGATGTTAGTGAAGAATTAGGTAGATGGTAGTGAAGGGTAGAGGAGACTGGTTGCTGACTGCATTCGCTGCTACTCCACACGTCATTGAGGAATTTGCACTTAGATCGATGATGGACCCACACAGGAGGCTTTTTACGATGGCGCTACTGATGAAAAACACACTCTGGCTCTTGACCCCCTATGTGGTCCTTAAAATTATGGTGCTAGGAAACCCGTAATAAGGGTTTACAAAACAGTGGTTAGTGGTTGGGTAAGGCGGCTCGGGCTGAGGCAGTGCAGCGGTGGTGACACCGATGTGGTGACATGGGCCTATGAATGAAGCCGTAGCATCACTTGGGGGACACCCGCCAATAGGCGCAAAAATATTTCTAAGCCTGGCTGGCTTAATACTAACCCACAAAAACCCACAAAACCACAGGGATGGTATAAAACACTCAGAATGGCTTGGAACTTGAAGCACAAAGTGATGAAGAAGACTGTACCCATGTGGCTTGCTTGAGCACTGGGTTAAGACACCTGGGTTAGATGCTGGCTGGCTTTGCTTAACCTTTCACACAGAATGGCTTGATAACTTCTAACGATGAGCACAGCAGGGGTGGAAAGCTGGCTTGGCAGGCAAGGCTGGACTGGACTTGGTCTGACTCCCCCACCACAGACTGGCTGCTGGTTTGGCTTACTTTGCAAACTCGGGTCAACCCATCGCGGAGTGATGCAAACATAAAGCCGTTAAATCCATAATACAAATAGACTGACCAGTGAATAATGTAGAGGCTGGTAGACGCTTGAGGTAGCTGGCTGGCTAGGTCAGCCTACTGACCACACGAGATGTCCATGCTCGGCTGAGAGAATCTCTGTGCATCGCGTAATTATCAATTTTACGCCCACACCGCTGCCACCAATTTGTCATGGGGGTTCGGTAGGAGATATGATGGTTGAAGGTAAACACACTTGTTGGATGGTAACGATATGTTTGTTTATCAGGACTGTGTTTATAAGGCAACAAGGGCACATTCTGGGCAGCCTGCCGTGTTACTGCCTGCTTGTATGTCTAAGCGTGGAGTGAGGGTGAGTCAGCGCGTCTCACTCACTCATGTTGTATCCCATGACGTCATACAGTCACTCGGCCTAATAGGGATCTTCTATATAAACACATAGATGGTACTATGATACTCAGCTAATCTTGCAAAAACATGTAAGGGGATCAGCAACTATGGCTGACACGATGCCCTTTGTATGCAGCCCAATGACCATTTAATGTTGCTATCAGTGAACCAGACTCTTCCTAGATTCCATCTGCCATTGTCGACGTTTAATTAGGGAGTGTGAACACTAAACTGTACTTTTTACTCAGCCCACCTCACATACGATACAGTGTTAGGCAGAATGAAGGAGTCTCAATGCTTCCTCAACAGCTGAATGACTCCCTTGAATATACTGACCTTACTCTGATAGTGAAAAATGTACACCGTTCTGCATCCTCAAACCCAATCGAAATGTTATATCGATGTATGCGTGGAAAGCTTAACCTAGCCAATATCCTGTACAACGTCAGCAAATAATTACAGGACTTAAGCTAGCTCAGGTACAAATAACAAAATCCCACATTAAAACTGAGTCAAAGGACATGAAAATCCACACATTAAAAATGCAGAATTTACAAATTAAAAAGTCACTTGATTTGCAACAAAGTCATCAATTCAAACTTGTGAAAACAGTAAATTAAAATAATGTGTGTAACAGCTTTGCCCCCTAACTGTGCCCAGCTACTTAGTTTGCATGGATGGTTGGATAAGGTAAATCCTAACCTAATCGTGTGCTATAGCCTAAATCTGGCTTTAGAACTCACTGGTATTAATAACTAGTTAAATCTATACTAGTACTATAAACTGTTGTAAGTTGCACAAGCCTAGCCCTACTGTGGATACATTGCAAATCCACTAATAAGTAAATTAACAACAAGTCTCTTATCTGGTTTACTTGTAATCACTGTAAAATACTTAAGTTTCACAAGCTTCTCTAACCTACCTGGCCTGCCTGTAAATTACTGTAAATAATAACTTCTGTGTATAGTCAGCTTGGCCTAGCCTCTGTGTAAGTCTCTGGCGCTTGGGTGTTGGACTTCACCTAACTTGTAAACTGGTTATCTTACTATGGCCTAGCTATGATAGCTTAACCTAGCTATTCCACATCACGGTTCAAGGAACCACTTGTGAAAATTGGTCTGGACTGCCTCAATGTGAGTTGCTTACCCTAGCAAGCTCTGTTGACACCGAGCTCTGAGGTCGGTACCTCAGCCTCACAAGTGACTTATAGGACAGATTTTCATAAATGACTTATGTTGCAAGAAAATCTCGCCTGCATGCACAAATAAAGGGCTAACTTACTTGGCGTTGGAGAATATATCCCGGTCTTCAACCTCCCTAAGCTTTAGCCCCTCTGGACCTCCCCTCAGAACCACGTGCAACCGGGACCCTTAATTCCTGCAATATTCAGTTGATATTAGTGACCTGCCTGCACCTTAGAAATTCCTGTTTCCAAGGGGGTATCTCCTAGAATAACTATGCAGAGAGTGACACTAGCTTCTAAGGCTGACAAAGAGATGCTGGTACGTACCGGTCATGAGCTGCCCGCCTGCACAAAGGCCCACAGCTCAGCTCACTCGCAATTTCTCCCCAGAAACTGGCCAGAATACTGAAAGAGAATGGGAGAATGGGTAGGTTTAAAAATGTAGTGTTAGAGTGTTCAGCAGAAGTTTGTGGTTACAGGAAAGTGGGTGCGGGAGGGAAGAGGAGCGATTGGTGGAATGATAATGTAAAGAGAGTAGTAAGGGAGAAAAAGTTAGCATATGAGAAGTTTTTACAAAGTAGAAGTGATGCAAGGAGGGAAGAGTATATGGAGAAAAAGAGAGAGGGTTAGAGAGTGGTGAGAATGTAATAAGAGAGCAAATGAGCCGAGAGTGGGTGAGATGTTTATCAACTAAATTTTGTTGCAAAATAAAAAGATTTGGAGTGAGATTAACAAGTTAAGGACGCCTAGAGAAACAAATTGGATTTGTCAGTTAAAAATAGGAGGAGGAAGTTATTAAATGAGAGGTAGAGGTATTGGGTAAGATGGAGGGACTATTTTTGAGGAATTGTTAATGTTGATGAAGATAGGGGGAAGCTGTGTTTTCGTGTATAGGGCAAGGAGGAATAACATCTTGAGGAAGTGTGGAAGAGCCAGTTGTGAGTGTGGAGGAAGTTCGTGAGGCAGTAGGGTAAAAATGACAAGGGTTAAGGCGCAAGGATTGATGGATAAAGATAGAAATGTTAATGCAGGTGGGGATATAGTTTTGGAATGTGGTTGGATGCACAATTATTTAATACTGTATAGAAGAGGGTATGGTACCTAGGGATGCAGAGAGCATGCCTAGTTCCTTTGTATAAAGGCAAAGGGGTTAAAAGAAGAGAGTGCAATATATTATAGGGGGATATAAGTCTGTATGAGTATACCTGGTAAAGTGTATGGTAGAGTTTTATTGAATAAGATTAAGTGTAGATGGAGAATAGGAGAGCAGATGTAACAAGGAGGCCTTTAGGAAAGGTAGGGGGTGTGGTGGACAGGTGTTTACAGTGAAACATATAAGTGAACAGTATTTAGATAAGGCTAAAGAGGTCTTCTTTGTGCATTTTATGGATTGGAAAAGGCGGTATGACAGGGTGGAAGGGGGGGCTATGTGGCAGTTGTTGCAGGTGTTATGGTGTGTAGGAGGTAGGTTAGAAAGCATGTGAAGAGTTTTTACGAGGGATAGTGAGGCTCAAATTTAGAGTATGTAGAATAGAGGAAATTATTTCCCAGTAAAAGTAGGCCTTAGACAAGGATGATGTGATGTCAACATGGTTGTTTAATATATTTATAGATGGGGTGGTTGGTAAGAGAAGTGAATGCGAGGGTCTGGGCATGAGGCGTGGAGTTAAAAGAAAAGATTCACACACAAAGTGGATGTTGTCACAGTTTGCTCTTTGCTGCGATGACACGTGCTCTTGGGAGATTCGAAGAGAAGTTGCAGAGATGGTGGATGAATTTGGTAGGGTGTGCAAAAGAAGAAAATTAAAGGTGAATACAGGAAAGAGTAAGGTATATGAGGGATTACAAAAGATTAGGTGAATGAAAGGATTGGATATCGGCATTGGAGGAAGAGAGTATGGAGGGAAGGTGAATGTATTAGATATTTGGGAGTGGGACGTGTAGCGGCTTGGGTCTATAAAAGATGAAGTGAATCATAGAATTGATGAGGGGAAAAGGGTGAGTGGTGGCACTTAGGAGTCTGTGGAGACAAAGAACTTTGTCCTTGGGGGGCAAAGAGGGGAATGTATGAGAGTATAGTTTTAAACCAACGCTCTTATATGGGTGTGAAGCATGGGTGTTGATGTTGCAGCGAGGAGAAGGTGGGGGGCAGTGGAGATGTCATGTCTGAGGGCAATGTGTGGGGGTGAATATAATGCAGAGAATTCGTATTTTGGAAGTTTAGGAGGAGGTGGGGGGGATTACCAAAATGTTGTCCAGAGGGTGAGGAAGGGTTGTTGAGGTGGTTTGGACATGTAGAGAGAATGGAGCGAAACAGAATGACTTCAAGAGTGTATCAGTCTGTAGGGGAAAAGGAAGGCGGGGTAGGGGTCGCCTAGGAAAGGGTTTGGGGGGGTAAAGGAGGTTTTGTGTGCGAGGGGCTTGGACTTCCAGCAGGCATGCTGAGCGTGTTTTATAGGAGTGAATGGAGACAAATGGTTTTTAATACTTGATGTGCTGTTGGAGTGTGAGCAAAGTAACATTTATGAAGGGGTTCAGGGAAACCGGCAGGCCGGACTTGAGTCCTGGAGATGGGAAGTACAGTGCCTGCACTCTGAAGGAGGGGTGTATATGTTGCAGTTTAAAAACTGTAGTGTAAAGCACCCTTCTGGCAAGACAGTGATGGAGTGAATGATGGTGAAAGTTTTTCTTTTTCGGGCCACCCTGCCTTGGTGGGAATCGGCCAGTGTGATAATAAAAAATAAAAAAATAATGGGAGGTCTCATCTTACTGTATGGGCCTGACGGAGGAGGTCATCTACAGTATGTTGAGGTGCCTCCACCAAATTTCCCCAGGGCCTAGTATGTGTAGACACGTGGGGTGCCATCCTGATGTTCACAGAACTTGTTACTTGGTTGGTGTCTGGTCATAGAAGGAGGTACTGCGGCCTTAAGACCCCGTGCCCCAGTATTCAAACTTGGGCTGCCAGTTCTCCCTGGCTAACATAACCTAGTGTTTGCCTATATTATCGGCCTATTACTACCTATGTTAAGGTCTCAGGTCTACATTATTATTATCTACAGTTGCCTCAATAATCCTAATATAAGTGTACTAACAGTATAAACTACCTACCTCTTCCGCAACTGGGTGGTTGCGGCAGCGGCAGCAACGGTATCCTACCAGCTCTTCTTTCTCAAAAAAAACATCACTCATCAAAACTTGTGATGGCCTAAGTGAAAGTTCAACTACATGAACCCACGTAGACCACAACATGACCCAAGAATACTAAGAATGTAACCCAAATCTTGACAAAATTAGAAGATCTAAGGAAGACAGCCCTGCTAACCCAAACACTGCCTCCGCTGCCAGACAACCACTTAACCCAAGCTCCGAGAAAACAAGCCTTCTCCTCCATTGCTACACAGTATCTACTTCAGTGAAACTTTGAAAGGATATCGCAGAAGAAACAACACCAGTAATAATAGAATAACAGCAAGGACCCTAGAACTCAACTTGTCTACCCAGCAGGACGCCGGTGTATCATCAACCCCCCTCACCGCCGCCACCCAGGGAACAACAACAACAACCCCCCTCACCGCCGCCACCCAGGGAACAACAACAACAACAAACATGGCTGACTCCCCCTCCAACTCCACTCCCTTCAAAGGATTCATCCATGATAACTCAGGTATTATTATTCCTGACAATATTAAGGACTACATCATTGCTCTAGAAAATGAAATCAAAGATATCAAAGCAACACTCGAGCGACGAGAATCCAAGATAACCAACCTTGAGAACAAGATCCAAAACCTTGAAGAGAAGATTACATCGGGAAGTGTTGACACAGAAAATACTCTAAAAGAAGCTATAGCCAGTCACACTGAGCAAATAAACAACAATAAATTGAAGGTTGAAAAAAGCAATCAAGGGGCTGGGAAACAGAACATGCACACTCGACTAAATGAATACCTTGATTTCCAAGACGACAAAACTGAACAAGGTAAGTTGTCTGATGCAGTTATAATAAACAGTCCACACATTCTTAGTGACATAACACAAGCACAGTGCAAAAAAATGCTATCAGGATAATACAGAAGCACGTACAAGTCATTTGTGCAAAACAATGAAATCAAAGAAACATGTTTGTTAGGAAAACCAGGAAGTAAAACAGTATAATGATCCGACTTCATTCATACGATAAGGGAAAAGGGCCCAATTAAATCAGCAATTACAATGAAAAATGGAGTGTACATAAATGAGTGTCTAACAAAAAAACGTCAAAACCTTCTGTTCAGGCTGAGAAAACTTAAACAGGAAAAAAAATAAAAAGGC